CTCTGCAGAATATAAAATGACAGTGCAGCGCTAAATGCAGATTCCATAAATAATAAAACCTTGTCCATCATATTAATGACAACAGTCTAATTAGAGGGTGTAACTAAAAAGAATAAGCCAGTAATCTTTTGAACGTCCCTAATAGATGGATTCGGACAGATGGTGTTCAAGTGAAAAGGGAAGACAGGGGGAACGGACCTCCACCACACTGAATAAACTGCATAGACTCCAGTGTTTCACCCCTTCCAAGATTGGAAGGCCACGTGGCCTTCCATTTCTGCCACCTTTTTCTTTGAGGTATATATTATGAAGGTTTTTGTCCCTTTGTAGCCCTTGATACCTTATTTTGTGGTGGTGTGTGGTGTAGCCCTCCTCTTTGAGCTAATTGACATGAAGACCATATATATGTGCTTTACAGCTAATCTGGCCCGCATGGTGGACTAATAGGACTGCTGTGGCCCAAGACTGTGGACGCCGTTACAACCTCTAGAACTGTAATCCGTTGGACATATTACAGTATTTCTTGATATATGTAGTGGATTAGCCCCATAATTCAATAAGGTAATTTATGTCATACGTTGGGTTTAGACATATTATTACATGTTTTAGCTGTTTGGGGATATATGCCAGAATATAGTCCTTATGATGTCCTCTTTGGGGCATACCCTAGCACATTACATCTGGTTTCTCTATAGGCCTATTGTGTTTTGCACTATCACACCACCATATTACCTATGCTAATTGAGGGCGAGTATAATTCACCCCTCTAAGTGAGTTGCATATATGCAACCTTTTTGCATGTTTTTTTTTTCAAGTGATTTCTGTCATGATGGTCCCCCTTTTTCCTTGCAGCCGCCTGCTTGTTGTGCTTGTTATGCATTAAAATATCTATATTGGGAGTGCCAAGTCGTAAACTATTCTGCACGCTGATGTAAGAGTCCATTTTTTGATATACATCCTTTATATACATGTTCATGTAAGTGCCTTAACCGCTTTAGGAGCGCCCACAGTAGATTTACTGCTGCAGAGCAGCCCCTGTGCGCAGGATCACGTGTATATATACGCGATTCTGCATTTCCGGGTGCGGGGCACGCGCAACCTACCAGCACCACGGATTGCGGCCCCGGGTGTCAATCACCAGGTCCCAGCCGGTGATTACCCGCCGGTGCCCACTCGTTACCGGCAATCACAGACAGGGAGGAGGGCTGCATTGTTTTCCAACAGCCCTCCTCCCTGTCAGTTTGGGCACACTGCTAGGGATTGCTGAGCAGAGCCATCTTGTCAGTGTGCTTACAGTAAAGCACACCCCCCCCCGCCCCCTAGTAAAATACTCCCAGCACACAGTTAACCCTTTGATTGTCCCTTATTGTTAACCCATTCCTGCCCAGTGCCATTAGTACAGTGTCAGTGCTTTTATTTTTTTTTTAAGCACTGATCACTGTATTGGTGTCACTGGGGATATCAGTGACACCAAGTCAGTTCCCCCCAGTGTCAGAATGCCCGCCACAGTCCCGCTATAAGTCGCTGATTGCCGCCATTATTAGTATTAAAAAATTCGATTTTTAAATTTTTTTACTGGACGTTTAATAGCAGAAAGTCCAAATAATTTTTTTTCTCAAAATTGTCAGTCTTTTTTTTTTTTAGCACAAAAAATAAAAACCGCAAAGGCCATGAAATACCAGCAAAAGAGAGCTCCATTTATGGGGAAAAAAGGATGTAAATTCCATCTGGGTGCAGCATTGCATGACCGCGTAATTGTCAAAGTAACGCAGTGCCGTAACGCAAACCACTTCTTTAACTGCTTCCTGACTGCCCTATAGCAGAAACACTTGCTGAGGTCTCAACTGCAGTACAAGCTGGTGCAGAGGCGAGCAGAAGTATTGTCCCGCAACCACCAAGAATTCACACACAGGTCCTGTAGAGCCCCTAGTGTCCTTCCGGATGTGCTTGCAAATCCCTATTGGCAGCCCACAAATTCTGCAGCACCTGTACTTCCCCCATTCACTGCCCAACTCAGAATTCAGGTGGAAACAGCAAATTTAACCACTTGAGCTCCTGAGGATTTACCCCCCTTAATGACCAGGCCTCTTTTTCCTACTCGGTGCTGCACTAATTCAACTGATAATTGCGCGGTCATGCAATGCTGCACCTAAACGAAATTTACGTCCTTTTTTTCCCACAAATAGAGCTTTCTTTCGGTGGTATTTGATCACCTGTGCGCTTTTTATTTTTCACGCTATAAACAAAAAAAGACCAAATATTTTGAAGAAAAACTATATTTTTTACTTTCAGCTATAAAAAATATATAGTAAACTCAAAGTTAGTTATAAATTTAGGCTAAAATGTATTCTGCTACATGTTTTTGGTAAAAAAAATCCCAATAAGTGTATATTGATTGCTTTGTGTGAAAGTTATAGCGTCTACAAACTATGGTATAGATACTGCAATTTACGACATTTTTTTGCTATACAGCGCTGCGCTAGTTTAAACGGACAATTGCGCGGTCATGCAATATGGTACATAAATGAAATTTATGTCCTTTTTTTAACACAAATAGAGCATTCTTTTGGTGGTATTTGATCACCGGTGCATTTTTTATTTTTTGTCGCTATAACCAGAAAAAAATTTGAAGAAAAAATTTTTTTTTTTTAAAAAAAAAAAACAATATTTTCTCATTTTGGTTATAAAAATTTCTAAAAAAACTAAAAATTTCATCATAAATTTAGGCCAAAATGTATTCTGCTACATGTTTTTGGTTAAAAAAATCCCAATAGGTGTATATTGATTGCTTTTTGTGAAAGTTATAGCGTCTACAAACTATGGTATAGATAATGGAATTTACATAGCTTTTACTTTCTGACTGCCCATCACATTTCTTGAGGTGCTAAAATACCAAAATAGTACAAACACCCCTCAAATGACCCCTTTTCAGAAATTAGACACCCGAAGCTATCTGCTGAGAGGCATATTGAGTCCATGGAAGATTTATTTTTTTTTTTCCACCACAAGTTTTCTGGAAAATGACAAAAACCTTTTTCTTTTTTTTTACACGAAGTTGTCATTTAAATGATTTATTTCTCGCACAAGCCATGGGTATATGTGGAATTACACCCCAAAATACATTCTGCTACTTCTACTGAGTATGGGGATACCACATGTGTGAGACATTTTTGGGAGCCTAACCACATACAGGAGCCTGAAATCCAATGACCACTTTGAAAGCCTGAAAGTGCGTAACTTCCTCATTACACTTGCTCACTACATATCACAGTTTCGAAGGCCCTGACATGCCAGGATAGCCCCAAACCCCCCCAAATGACCCCTTTCTGGAAAGTAGACACCCCAAGGAATTTAAAAAGAGGCATGGTGAGTATTTTGCAGATCTCATTTTTTTCTCACAAGGTTTTGAAATATAAAAAAAATAGAAAAAATATGTTTTTGTTTTTTTTCTTCATTTTCCAAAAACTTGTGGCAACAAATGAAGAGATCTGCAAAATACTTACCATGCTTTTTATCAAATTCCTTGGGGCGTCTACTTTCCAAGGGGTAATTTGGGGGGTTAGGTGCTATCCTGGCATTTCAGGGCCTCCGAAACTGTGATAGGTAGTCTGGAAGTGTAATGAGGAAATAAAGCCCTTTAAAAGCCTGAAGGTGCTTATTGGATTTTGGGGTCCTGTACTTGGCTAGACTGCCAAAAAGTCTCTCACATGTGGTACCCCCATACTCGGGAAAGTAGCAAAATGTATTTTGGGGAGTAATTCCACATATAACCATGGCATGTGTGAGTAGTAAATCATTTAAGTGACAATTTTGTGTAAAAAAAAAATATATATTTATTTTTGTCATTTTCCAAAAACTTGTGGTAAAAAAAATAAATTCTTCTATTGATTCAACATTCCTCTCAGCAAATAGTTTGGTACTTTCCAAAAAGGGGTCATTTTGGGGGGTGGGGGCGTTTTATGCCCAGCATTAGAAGTTTATGCCACACATCATTCACTCTTCTAACCACCTGAAAACCAATCCTTTTGTTCACATGAAAAAAATCAGTATTTTTTGCTAGGAAATTAATTTAAACCCCCAAACATTATATATTTTTTTAAAGCAGACACCCTAGTGAATAAAATAGTTTTACAATTTTTTATGGCACATAGTACTCGCGCAGCGATTTTTCAAAAGCAATTTTTAAAAAAAATACACTTTTTTTACTTTTAATGCACAAAAACACAATATATTGGCCAATTGTTTGGTAAAATATAAAAGATAATGGTATGCCGAGTAAATAGATACCAAACATGACATGCTTTAAAACTGTGCATGCCCCGTTCAATGGCGACAAACTGCAAACATTTTTTAATATCCATAGGCAGCGCTTTAAAAGCCTTTAAAAGCCACCATTTTAGATTTACAGAGGAGGTCTAGTGTTAGAATTACTGCCCTTGATCTGACGTTCACAGCAATACCTCACATGCATGGTGCAACCGCTGTTTACATAACGGCACAGGGTCAAGGCTTGTGCACACAGGTGTGCGCGCATGGGAGGGGCAATTTTTTTTTTTTATAGTTATTTTGATTTTTTTTTATTGTTTTTACATTGTACCTTTCATTTTTTTTTTTCTTTTTAATCACTTTGAATGCTATAACAGGGAATGCAAATAACCCCTATAACTTCAATGGGCATTGTCATATATTCTTTTTTGAGAAATCTGGGGTCTATCATACTCTAGATATCTCCTCTGCACTTACATTATCTAATCAAACCAAAATCGGTGTGATCAGATGCTTTTCCCAATTTACAAATGGCGCTGTTTATATCCTGCAAAACTGAAGTGATGAAATGTTTGTAGCTTTCGAATTCTTAGACTATAGAGATGATTGGCACCATTCTGGTCTCCAATCAGCTCTATGGTCATCTGGCAGAAACACCGGCTGTAGTCTCAGGTTCCCCTGATGGCAGGGGACTGCCCGAGAAGGCCGTGGAAGGCAGCGAGGGAGGGGGGACATCATCTCCCACTGCTTGTAAAAGCAATTTTGCAGCTAATTAGCCACTAGGATTGCTTTTACATGAAAGCTGATCACCGGCTGAAAAAAACGATACCAGGATGATGCCTGCAGCTGTAGGCATCATCCTGGTATAACCATTCAAATCCAGTGATGTAGCAGTACGTCGCTGGTCCTTGTTGGGTATATATGCTATGTTTTCTTTTTTTTTTTGTATGCAGCCTGTGGACTGAATGAAAAAATTAGAAGAAATCTCTGCCAGAAAAAGTGTGTGGTATGCCCACCATTAGAATATACCACCCTGCATCCACCCACTTCTAATGGTGGGCACACATTAGGTCACACTTTGCCACAAGTGCCAGTTCCAAGATTGAATGAATGTCTAAATAGTCTAAAAAGCACGCTTGAATAAAAAATTGTCCACGTATAAGTGGTACCCCATATGGAGAAATGATGACACCAAGTCCCAAACTATCTTGTCACTGCTCCCCATGTAGTCTGGGCATTTGGGGGGCTCCACGTGACTATCTTTTCCCTCATAAATCCGAAACTTATAAGTATAGCCTGTTGCCCTCTCACAGGTCTTCTACATCTTGACCCCATATCTGGCACGCTTGATGGGGAGAAATTGTTTGAATGCAAGGCGGCCAAAAAATTAATGAGGGACTCCTCAACGCAGATGTTTTTGCTGGGGAGTATAGACATCTGCAAATTTTAGGTTAAGGTGATTTGCGAGGGGCTGAATTTTGTGGAGCCGGTCAAATTCAGGGTTACCCCAAGGATGACAGAGTGTATTGTCGCTGAAATGCATAAAACACATTATACTCTCATATCTATGCCTGGCCATGGCAGCAGAGAACACGGCATATGATGAATCGGGTCTGCGGACCAATACAACCTCAATTCATTTCTTGTGGTAATGCCATGTTGAGGGTTAGGCCCCAAAAAAATGTAAATTTGAAAACCGTAATGAGTTTTCCATGCGAATGGTCTGGCAAAGTTTGAATTTGGGTTGGTGGCGATAAATTGTTGTGCATATAAACTGCTTTGATCCACAATCAACGCATACAGATATTCCGTGAAAAACAGCTCCAAAAAATCAAGGAGGTATGTGAAAGACCAGGAGGTACTAGACCGCTGGTACTCGCCAGTTCACCAAAAGGTAGAGCGGCACTAGTACTGGCACTCTGCTGCATATGAAAGTCATCAAAATTTACCGGCAAGTGCTAACAGAGATAAGGCCTGATTCTGCAAACACTGCGGGTTTTGTGTGCAATGTATCAAGTGACAGTGACCTACTGACTCTGCACTTGCTGGGGGAGAAGGGGGGGTAAGCGTAGGGGCTAAACGCAGGTGCTGGCAGGTGCAGGGGCTGATCCCGCTAACGCTGCGTTTTTTGGGGACGCTATACTAATGTGAACGCTGGTATAGTGCTGACCTGATCAAAGATATGGACCCGTTCAGACACTATACTAGCAATGGAGGTTTATTGTACATGAGCGTTCTCCTGGCAATCAAGGGGTTAAATGTGATGACTGGTGTAACTGATGGGCAATCTGATGCTATCTGGGAGGGGTGTGAAAACCACGGGAGCGCGAATCACGTATATATATATATATATATATATATATGATTTTGCGTACCCATGCCGCCCTGTAGCAGTATTTCTGCTGTAGGGTGGTCAGGAAGCGGTTACAGAAGAGGTTTGTGTTACGGCGCTGCGTTACTTTTAACTGACAATTGCGCTGTCATGCAACACTGCACCCAAATTAAATTTACGTCCTTTTTTTCCCACAAATAGAGCTTTCTTTTCGGTGGTATTTGATCGCCTGTGTGTTTTTAATTTTTTGCGCTATAAAAAAAAAGGCTGACAATTTTGAGAAAAAAAAACAATATTTTGGACTTTTTGCTATAAAACATGTCCAGTAAATAAAATTAAAAAATCAAATTTTGTCACAAATTTCATCCAAAATGCATTCTGCGACATGTCTCTGCTAAAAAAAATCCCAATACATGTAAATTAATTGGTTTACGTAAAAGTTATAGAGTTTACAAATGGCGGGAAGATACTGGGATTTTCAATTTTTTTTTATACTAATAATAGTGGCGATCAGCGACATATGGCGGCAATCAGCGACATATGGCAGTGATCAGCGACTTATGGTGGGACTGCTGGACTGTGGCGGACATTTTGACACTGGGGGGACCTGACTTGGGGTCACTGACATCCCCAGTGACACCAATACAGTGATCAGTGAAAAAAAAAACCACTGACACTGTACTAATGGCACTGGGGAGGAAGGGGTTAACATAGTTAGGGTTTACTGTGTGAGGGGAGTGTTTACCAGGGGGCAGGGGTGTGTGCTGGACAGGGACAGGCTGATCGAGGGAGAGAAACTCTTCTCTCCCTCTTCAGCTTGTAACGAGCTGACAGGCAACTGACAGAGCAGGGCTGTGTGTAAACAATGCAGCCCTGCTCTGTGTCAGCGATCACCGGTCATCGCGGGAAAACGGCTGGTAATAACCGGCCGAGACCCGCTGCTGACACCCGCGGGACAGGCAGGGCGGGCGCGCGCCTCACGCATGCCCCCTACCTGTTTTGCAGAACCACATTTTAAAACGTGGTTTTGCCTGCGAGTGCCGCCCTGCAACCCTTTTAATGCGGTGGCTGGGCGGCAAGTGGTTAACTACTCCCCTTGATTTTTTTTGGAGCTGTTGTTCACAGAAGATCTGTATGCATTGATTGTGGATCAAATCAATTTATATGCACAATTTATCGCCGCTAACCCAAATTCAAACCTTGCCAGACCATTCTCATGGAAACCCCATTACGGTTTCCGAATTAAAATTTTTTTTTGGGCCTAACCCTCAACATTGCATTACTAAAAAAAATGAATTGCGGTTGTATTGGTCCACAGACCCGATTCATCATTAGCCCTTGTTCTCTGCTGCCATGGCCAGGCATAGATATGAGAGTATAATGTGTTTTATACATTTCAATGACAACACACACTGTTGTCCTCGGGGGTGACCATGAATTTGACCGGGCTCCACAAAGTTTGGCCCCTGGTAAATCACCTTAACCAAAAATTTGTAGATGACTATACTCCCCAGCAAAAAATCTGCGTTGATGAATCCCTCACTAATTTTTTCTGGCCGCCTTGCTTTCAAATGATTTCACCCCAGCAAGCGAGCCAGATATGGGGTCAAGATGTAGAAGACCTGTGAGAGGGCAACAGCCTATAAATATAAGTTTCGGATTTACGAGGGAAAAGATAGTCATGTGGAGCCCCCTGAAAGCCCAGACTACATGGGAGTAGTGACAAGATAGTTTGGGACTTGGTGTCATCCTTTTTCCATATGGGGTACCACTTATACGTGGATAATTTTTATTCAAGCGTGCCACTATTTAGACATTTGTACAATCTTAGAATTGGCGCATGTGGCACCATGCGACCTAATGTGTGCCCACGATTAGAAGTGGGTGGATGCAGGGGTAGTATATTCTAATGGTGGGCATACCACACACCTTTTCTGGCAGAGATTTCTTATCTTTGGTTATACCAGGTTGATGCTACAGCTGCACGCATCATCCTGGTAATCGTTTTTCTCAGCTGGCAATCGGATTTCATGTAAAAGCAATCCTAGAGAGGGGGCGTGGCCAGCATTGCATGCATTAGGAAGTGTGCCTAGTGAGCTCTGCTGTGTATGCTGTAATTTCTCCTGTTTGGCACCTCGTTCTCTGGTCGGAAGGACATCTTTGGTCCCTGGGGTGTGCTCTGCCCTCCCTGTTGTCACTTGGAGCTCAGTTTCTCCTGTCTTGAGATGGCTAAATGGGCGAAAGAAACTCGGGCCTTGCCTGAGTTGGCTGGACAAGATGGAGGTGCCCCGCTCTGTGCATCCAAGAAGAAGCAGAGGGAGGCTGCTCAAAAGTTATTTGCCAGGGCGCTTACCAGGGAAACTTCCCAAAAACAACTTCTGGAATCCGCTACTGATCCAGACTTAGACTGTGCAGGCAGTGCTCAGCTCCCCCCTGTACTGGGAGACAGAGAGATCCCATCCTGCAGTCCCACAGTGAGTAGCCATCCACCCCAGTCCTCATGGGACACAGGCTGCTGTTTCCATTGAAGAAAATCCTGAACCCACCCTCAGAGAGATTCTCTCTGCAGTTATTATATGCACCTCCATCTGTTGCGGTTCTCACTGGGAAGGAGAAGGGATGAGGGTGGAATTGTCCCTGGTGCATCAAGATATGCAGAAATTGTGGGATCGCACCATGGCCTTGGAGGGGAGAGTGAGCACTTTGGAAAATGACTGGCAACCATTATACAGGGATGTGCGTTATGTGCAGTCAGTCGCCTCTACTAATGCCTCTAGATTAGAAGATTTGGAAAATCGGTTATGCCGCAACAATGTGCACGCATACCAGAGCGTGCTGAGGGTAAAAATCCTGTAGCCTTTATAGAAGCCTAGCTGACCTCTAGATTTGGCAGTGACGTACTCTCCCCCATGTGAGCGATGCTCACACAGAGTCCCAGCATGTGCTCATCGGCTGGTCCTCCTCCACGGCCTTTTCTGTATAGACTCCTCAATTATTGGGACAGAGACACCATTCTCTCCCAAGCCAGAAGCAAGGGTAACCTGTCGGTTGATAATATTCAAGTATCCTTATTTTCAGATCTTTCCATGGAAGTTCAAAAGCAACGCGCAAAATTTCTGGATGTCAAAAACAACTTCGGGCTTTGGGCCTTCAATATGCCATGCTTTTTTTATAATGATTGTGGAGGATACATCCCATTTCTTTGATAGTCGCAATACAGCCCTACAGTGGCTGGATGGAGCAGAATATCGCTTGGAGCATTATCCTGGAATGGTGGAACCTTGGGGACCCTGATGATCCTTAGTGCCTTAATCTCAGTTTAGTAGAACAGCGGGGTATTGCTCTCACATTTCCTCCCTTTGTTGTTTTTTACTTTTTTACCGATTAAGTTGGGGCTCCTCCCCTCTTACACTATCCCTGCACCTACCTACTGCGTGCATGACCACGAGACATTGTGTAAACCCCACCCTGCTTTTGGTCCTGAGGGGACCTTTTGGCCTCCTGCCAGTGTTTCCAGTTATCATTATTATG